AGGAATGCTCTTGAATCTTATCCAGAGCTGCTATCATGCATATTTCATATAATTGGTAACTGGAACAATTTGAGAGAGAATTTAACCTTTTTTTATACTGTATGTAAGATGATAAAGCGTTCTGTCTTACTGGATCCTTTTGCCCTCCTAGTCCTTTCAAAAGTGCTTATTTTACTATTTTCCATGTTTAGTATTTGTGTTTTATCAGAAAAATAAATTACCTTGCATTTAGCCAGTATTACCTATTACAGTTTGTTTTTTTCTTCAGTCTCACCAAATAGGTACATAATAGAGCTTTATAAAGAAGTAGCTAGTAGGCATTTTGTGCATTCCTTTATCACTCCAGGCTTTTTCCCTGCATTTGCATGCCAGATTATGCTGCCTTAGCAGTGAAGCTATAAATAGAACCTCCAATGCACCAGGGCAGTGATGTCACTGTGGCCTTGGAAATCTCAGATCTCACCTGTAACTGAAGCACAACTCTTCATTCCCATTTCTACTGTCCTCAGTCTTACAGTAGCAGGATGCAGAAGGGACATAAATGAAATGATCTATTGCTGCTGGTGGTGTCTAAAGTCTGAGTGTGTTAAATTTGATGGAGCAATGAAGAATGGAGTGAGCTGTGAAGCTGCTCCTATTGAACAAGGGTAGAAAGATACAGTAGTAGTCTGTTTTTGCTTATTGCGGTATACTAAAGTGTTGAGTTTGCAGGGTGAAGAGTGATTTGGGTTTGGGGGGGGTGGGTTTGCTGAGAAGCTGAATTGCTATAGCTACATACTTCTAAGAATATACCTAGTCAGTAGTAGTAATTTCTAACTTTTAAATCACTTCATAATTTGTATACAGTACTACATCATTTGTATACAGATTGTGTGACTACATTGTGAAAAATATTTGTTTTTTTCTTCTAGTGTGAAAAATTCCAATTATTGCCTCCCATCATACACTGCTTATAAGAACTATGATTACTCAGAGCCAGGAAGACACAATGAGCAACCTGGGCTTTGTGGCCTAAGTAACTTGGGAAATACATGTTTCATGAACTCTGCAATACAGGTAGGTGTTTCAGAGTAAAGTCAGCTTGGCTTGTTACATAAATATAAGTAATGGGGGGGTTGATTTGCATTGTGACACGTTTACAGAAGGACACTATGGAAACTTGGAAAATAACAGGTCTGCTTGTGGATATTAGGAAAAGTTGACTT